GTGGTAGTTAGGGTCATGGTGGTAGTTAGGATCACGGCAGTAGTTAGTTAGGGTCATGGCTGTAGTTAGGGTCATGACTGTAGTTAGGGTCATGGTGGTAGTTAGGGTCATGGTGGTAGTTAGGGTCATGGCTGTAGTTAGGGTCACAGCAGTAATCAGTTAGGGTCATGGTGGTAGTTAGGGTCATGGCTGTAGTTAGGGTCATGGTGGTAGTTAGGGTCACGGCTGTAGTTAGGGTCATGGTGGTAGGGTCATGGCTGTAGTTAGGGTCACGACTGTAGTTAGGGTCATGGTGGTAGGGTCATGGCTGTAGTTAGGGTCATGGTGGTAGGGTCACGACTGTAGTTAGGGTCATGGTGGTAGTTAGGGTCATGGCTGTAGTTAGGGTCATGGTGGTAGGGTCACGGCTGTAGTTAGGGTCATGGTGGTAGGGTCACAGCTGTAGTTAGGGTCATGGTGGTAGGGTCACAGCTGTAGTTAGGGTCATGGTAGTTAGGGTCATGGTGGTAGAGTCATGGCTGTAGTTAGGGTCATGGTAGTTAGGGTCACGGCTGTAGTTAGGATCATGGTGGTAGTTAGGGTCACGGCGGTAGTTAGGGTCACGGTGGTAATCAGTTAGGGTCACGTTGGTAATCAGTTAGGGTCTTGGTGGTAGTTAGGGCCACGGCGGTAGTTAGGGTCACGGCGGTAGTTAGGGTCACGGCGGTAGTTAGGCTCTTGGTGGTAGTTAGGGTCACCGTGGTAGTTAGGGTCATGGGGTAGAACCCTTGTGGTGAGATTTGTGCTCTTTATAGGATGAGAGGATGAGACACAAGAGAGGTTGCACCTGTGCTCTCTGCACCACGTGAGAACATGGTGAGCGTGCGGCCGCTAGCAAGCAAGGACAGACCCCGCCTTTCAGTCGCCGTCATCCTGACTCTAGCCTTGGAAACGTGAGAAAGTGAATACCTGTCACTTAGTCACCCAGTCTCTGGTATTTTGCTGTGGCGGCTGAGCCGATGGAGACAGTTCCATAGGTCTTCATTGTCCTGGTGGCTGTGAACCCCAGTTTTTGTCTCAGTGAGATTCCCGGCCCAGCTTTCTGTGTGGCCTGTGAAGGGTCAGCAGACGCCGTGCACGTGCACGGCCTGGGTGGCGCATCTCTCTGGCAACACCTCCTCTTCTGATGCGCTTGCTGGTCTCGGATGCCTGCAACACAGTTTTTGCTTATTTTCCAGCTTTTATCGATCGTTCGTGGGAGGAGGGTTAGACTCCTAGCGTGGCGTCCCTGGCCACATCCTCAGCGCCGCATCCCCTTGCAGCTCAACTCTTGGTTCTGAGTTATTCTGACTCAGCCGCACGTCCTCACAGCGGCCTTCCTGGCCTGGCTCTGCCGGGCGCTGGGCAATCTCTGCCTCCAGCCTGGGCCTTTGGGTCTTTTTGAGGGTGGGGGACACGGAACGCAGCAGTGAGGATCTCGGAGCAGCTTCTTGTTGGTGTTGATGTGTTTTGCTTGTTTTAGTGAATCCAGAAAAAAAAAATTCTTACATAGAAAGGAGCGGTGTTTGGTATGAATTTATTTGCAACTGACTGCTTGGAAGTTGGCGTACATCTTTCCACGGAAACTGTGAAAATACTGGTCAGCCTCTCAGTCATTTCCTAAAATCTGGATTTTGTATTACAACAAGTTAGGATGTTCTCAGTAGAACTGATTGTAAGGCCAAACTGTAGGAATGTAATTCCTTCCGAAACGTCTCTCGGGGTTACTTTCCTGAACGGCTGCTGACAGCAGCATTTGGGGACGGTGGGGCGGAGGACACCCTAGGGGGCCTGGCTTCTTGGGAACCGGAGGCTTTGGCCCTCGTCCCAGCCCGGCTGTCCTGAGGAGGGAGGCATGGGGCCCTGGGCTGGGTGCAAGACGTGGAGTGACTGTGGGTCCCCGTGGCCCCTGACACGCTCCCAGGGAACCCAAGTAAACACTGAGGCTCTTGTGATGCCTCCCGCCTTCCGTGCGCATTCCGTGGCAGGTGAGTCCGATTATTCGAAGGAGGCTGGAGTGTGGGCGGAGGGCAGTGCCAGGTTTCCCAGTCAGATTTACTCAGGGCTCCTTCAGCAGTCCATGCCACAGTGGCTGTCCCTCGGGGGCCCACGCGCCCAAGCCACGGCCTCCTGCCTTCCATGCGGGGATTTGCTCCCCAGAAGGAGCCGCCTGGCTGCCTCTCGCCAACATGAAGCACTTTCTTTCTGTGGAGCGCGGTTCCTGTCCCGGGGTCCATGTTGGCCACTGTGGGAGGCAGTCGGGCAGCTGAATTTCCGCAGGTGGGAATGCCACGGCCTGAGGATGTTGCCCCTGTCCTGAAGGCTGTCGCCCGATCGCTCTATCCAAGGCTGCCCTGGGGCAGCATCACCTGGGGGTCCTGCAGGGGCTTCTCAGCACAGCATCCAGCACCCCCACCCAGTGTGTTCCCATCGCAGTTTCTGCCCCCGCCTGCACCAGGCACCAGAGACCCAGATGCCAAGGCCTGTCAGCTTCCTCAATGGGAAACTTTTCTTCAGTGAACAAGGCTCTGTTTTATAGACTTTTAAAATTTTCAGCTCAAAAACCAAAGTCAGCCGACGTTGGTGGCCTTGGCGAGCTGGTCTGCTGCCCTGGGCTGCAGGGGCTGCCCAGCCGGAGTAGTGGCCGGGGCAGGTGCTGACCACAGGCTGTTTGGCTGCAGGTGATGGGCAGGTGACCCATCACGTGTCCAGAGGTGGGTGCTGCTGGTGGGTAACCCAACTCATTCCATCTCCCCCCAGCCGCCCTCAGCTGGGGACCCTGCCCCGCCGACCCTGCCATGCCCACCCCCCTCCAGCCTGATTGCGTGTCTCAGTCATGTAACCGCCCTGGGCCCATGATGTCACTGGGAAATGCCCTCGTCTAATTGGCTTAGACCCCAGATGAGCGAGCCCAAGGTCTTGGGGCATCAGAGCCACCCATGAGGGCAGCTGGACGCAGTGGCCACAACCTATGGTTGGGGAATGGCATTGCCCAGCTCCACCACGAGGGGACCTGAGGCTTGGACTGCAAGACTGGCCCAGGCTTGCCACTTGCCCCGCACCCAGGGTCACCTTCCCGAGGGCCGCAGACACTTGAGCGTCGTGGCAGGGACATGCCCGCCCATCCCTCCCGGGTCCCTTATCCACCTGCCTGTCCCTTTATGTCACTGACACCGTGATACCCATTGTGCTGCACCATGTGGCCGCAGTGCTCACAGGGCCAGACTCTGCCCGTTCCTGGGGGTCCGTGTGTCCCACGTGCCTGGACGTGAGAGGACAGAAGTCGGCAGAGCTTGGCTCCCCATTTGCCCGACTCGCGCCTCGGCTGTGCCTCTTCTGTCTCTTGAGCTCTTCTGTGCCGTGTGGTTGCACTGAGCAGCTGTGGGGAAGAGGGAGGTGGTTGCCTCGGTGGGAGCCTGGGCTGTGGCTGCCGGTCCCGAAAACAGACGCTGTGCCCCGGGCAGCTATCCACTTCCCACCACAGTGGTGCCCAAAACCTCTTCCAAGTCTTCTTCTGTGACTCCAGTGTTATTTTTCAGTTACCTTTAAAAGCATAGCATGTTTTCAGTCACATTTTTCAATTGGGAAATAGATCTGTGGTTAGAAACGGGAAGTTTGAGTTGCAGGCTTGAGATCCGGGCAGGTCCCTCAGATGGAGGGGCTGCACCTCCACTGCCCCCCACCGCTGCCCCTGCCCCACGGCCACCCCAGATCCTCAGACACCCTGCCCTGTGCCTTCTCACCCTCTGGTCCTGGCTGGGCCCATCCCGCCTCCCACTGCCCTCAGCCTCTGGAGCAGTGCCTGCGTGGCTGGCGCCATCCAGCGCAGAAGGAATGAAGGACTTCTGTTCAGACAGCTCTGCCGGGAGCGTTCTCGCCTGAAATGTAGTGGGAGCTCTGGTTTGGGTGTAGCCGAGGCTCAGGGGCTCCGCACCAGGCAAACAGGCTAACGGCATCTCCTGCAGCTCTTGGTGGCTTTTTAGGACTCCACGTCCAACGTGTTCTCCATTGTCCCTGGCAGCCCCTGGCCAGGGTGGCCCAGTGCCCACTATAGAGGGTGCAGGTCAGTTTGTGGACCAGTGGCCAACCAGGCTGAGTCAGGCGAGGTGGGGTCCCACCCCAAACCCCACACTCCAGTGTCTGGGCCACAGGCAGCCCTGGGACACCTTAGCTCTGGACACGAATTTGCGGTCTTTGCTGTTCTTGTGTCTCTGTTTGCCTAGGACATGCTGGCAGCTAACTGTGTGCTGGGGAAGCCTGGAGAGGAAGCCAGGTGGCCCCGGGCTCCTGGAGCCCAGAATTCAGCCCAGAAGTCGCTGCCCGGGGAAGAAGTGGAGTCTAGAGGTGGCAGTGCCCATTTTACCTGCACCCTCGGTGACAGCTGCACCCCGGCTTCTGGGGACCTCCTGGCCCAAGGGCACCTCACTGTCTCCTTGTCCTCCTGGTCACTGACCTGGCCCACCATGGAAGGCACCTGGCTCTCTGCACGCGGCTCGACCACTGACTCTCACCAATCCGGGCACCGCAGGGCCGTCCTGTGGCATTGCTTTGGGCTGTGCTGGTCACCCCGTGTAGTGGGGCCGTG